GGAGATGGACAGCTTTGCCTCTGGCCAGTCTGTTGGATTCCTGTCCTCTGACAGGTGTTTGTGGTATGGCTCTGCTTGTGCAGTGATGGTGAAAGGAAAAAGGGGTGTTCAGAGGGGAGGACAGGCAAGGAGAAGTGAGGCTGATGGGTTAATGCCACCTGTCCTGGTGCTGAGCCTGGAAAAATCCCATGTAATGCAGTTACTGAATTCCTGGAGTTAGAAGCTCAGTTCCCATGGCTCCTGTACAGGCAGAGAAGGAACGGGCTTGTGGGAGATCCTGGACTGACAAGGCCCCTGTGCTGTTCCTAAGCCTCTGGGAAGTTCTTAGTTGAATTTGGATTGTGCTTCTCTATTTTGCAGACCCATCTGCATGTTCCCAAGCATTGCAACACACTGAAAGTGCTCCTTGGTAGGAAATAACTAATTTTATCTGGAGGGTTGTGTTAGCGCTGGGTCGGCTTCCAGCTTGAAAATGCCTTTCAGCAACAGCTTTTCCATGAAGTCATTGTGCCCTAGCAAGTGGTTTCACAGAGTCTGGGTGATGGTGTGCAGAGTTACCTTAAAGTCTCAGCATGTCTTTTGTAATGGAACTGGAGTTTTTCATTTGGAAGAAGCTGCACTTGGAACATCCAAGAAAAAGAATCCTTGGCAGCAGCCACGACCAGCAGTGTCCTTAATGTCAGTGTAACACCTGCCTAACTGGTTCTTTGCTAGAAACTCCTGATACAGGTGCTGTCCTTACTTTTTTTTGTTGTTGTTCTTTAAATACCTTCCAATTCACCACAGAACATCAGAGCCCACCACATCCTGTGCTGAAAGAGTTAATGGTAATTTCCCAAACAAGCTGATGGCCCTAAAGAAGCCCCTGGCATACACGGAATTCAGGTGGATTTTTATTTTTCTTTCTACCCATGAACAGGCCAAGGGGGAAATGCACTGCAGAGAACTCAATAACTGCCTTGTAAGTTCAGTTTTCATTGTGGGTTATATAAATTCCAGCCAGACTTTTAATGAAATTGGTTATTACTCTGGTTTGGGAGAGGGTGGTGCCTCTCGGGGTCCTGCTGGTTGATGTTTGCTGCTGTTACAAACGCAGCTACTTCTGGCAACAGCTTGTAATTTAACAATATTCTTGATTACAGCTGGCCACTGCTCAATCCCCTTTGCAGCATGAGTGGAGCTGCACATTAAGGATAATGTTTGGCAACAGCAGCTTGTGAATGTGTATTTTTCTCCCTTATTTTCCAGTGCATGCACATAAGTACCACTGCACTAATGGAGCAAAAAGTGCTCCTTCCATTCTCCACATCAGCAGTGTTTTCCTCCTGCTATCAGGAGGGTCTAAATGCTGTGGGGATGAGGCTGTTTTGTCTGCTGAGATTAGGTCAAATGTGTGTGTGATTTGTTCTCTCTCTGCTAAAGGAATCTGCTGGATATTTTTATCCCTGAGAGGCCACGTGCTCAGTTTTGCTCTGGTTAAGCACAAGTATGTCAGAAATAGTCATTTCTGCTTAGAAGGGAGGATTTTGCTGTGTTCTAATGGGTAGGTTTTCACCCTTTCTCAGGGCAGGTGAGCAGTCATAATCCTGGTTTTTAGCAGTCTGTACATGAACGCAGCTGCAGCTGTGATGCTGTGATGGAGGGTGAAGGGAAGGTGGAAACTGATGTGACTTCAGGTAGTTAAAAGCTGCTGCTCCAGTGCAAGTCCCGTGAATCCCCTGTCAGTAGGGAATGTGCTCCCAGTAACATCAGCAGCTCTTCTTCACTGGTAAAGCCTGTCTGGGTTAAAACAACCGTTCCTTTCTTGCTTTGCTGCATCCTACATCAGGAGAGGAGTGTTCTGCCACAGAGTGCTCTGCTGCCTTCCTCACCTTCTTTCAGCAATGTTTCTTGGCCATCCTTGTTGGATTTGCTATGGATTTACTAGGTTGGGTTTACTATGGAAGACTAAATATCAAGCTTCATCAGTGGCAAGGAGGTAACTATTGTGGGGTGAAAGCAAATGTATTCATCTAGAGATGCTTCCTCTCTCACAACCTTCCAGTGCAGTTTGTCCTCTTGATGGATGAGCTGCTGGTCTCGTTTTCTGTGAAAACTCCTGAAGTCTGTGTGGTTTGTCCAGTGGGGCGTTGTGGTCACTAAGGTGTGAGGGACACTTCCACCATCTCCAGAGAAACTGCTTGGCTATCAGTGTGAGGAACCATTTCAGGACTGTTAACAAGATCCTATTTCTCAAATTGCTTGATGCCCTCCAAGTCAGGAAAAGGTAAGAAAGATACATTGCCTTATTTTGGGATGAATTACTGTACATCAGGTGTAACGAGCTGATGTGAAATGAAGCTTCAGCTGAAAAAGCTGCTGGTTGTGGAACAGAGGCAGTGCCCGACCTTGAGGGGCTGCCCTCACGTGGGGCACTTCTCTGCCGCTCCCCAGCCGGGTGGGTGAACAGCCCGTCCTTAAGCTCCGTCGTTTTAATTCCGAGTTTCCCGTTAACAGGGTCACCTTGTCCTCCACGGACTGTTACATTGTGCACGAGATCTACAACGGGGAGAATGCTCAGGACCAGTTTGAGTACGAGCTGGAGCAGGCCCTGGAAGCGCAGTACAAGTACATCGTGATAGAGCCCACGCGCATCGGGGACGAGACGGCCCGATGGATCACCGTCGGGAACTGCCTGCACAAGACGGCCGTGCTGGCGGGCACCACCTGCCTCTTCACCCCCCTGGCACTTCCAGTAGATTATTCTCACTACATCTCCCTGCCCGCTGGAGTGCTGAGCGTGGCCTGCTGCACCCTGTACGGGATCTCGTGGCAGTTTGATCCCTGCTGCAAGTACCAAGTGGAGTACGATGCCTATAAACTCTCCCGCCTGCCCCTGCATACGCTCACCTCGTCCACCCCCGTGGTGCTGGTGAGGAAGGACGACCTGCACAGAAAGAGACTGCACAACACGATAGCACTCGCTGCCCTGGTGTACTGTGTAAAGAAGATCTATGAACTCTACGCTGTATGACTTCAGCAGGCAAGAGAGAAACCCACAAAAGACAAGTGTATTAAGACTCCCACAGTAACATTTTGTTTTTCCTCTTTGACGAGCAGTGGAGACTGGGAAGGATTTGGTTTAATAGAGCTGTTATTTTTCAAATAACACATCACTGGTGCACCAAGGTTTTTCAGTTCTTCGTTACACTTGAGATGTGGATGTGTGGTGACTTGAGATCCGTATGTTAGGCCAGGGGAGTCCAATCCAGCAGCAGAATGTCCATGAAATAAAGCAATAGAAAGAGGGGGTGTGAGAGCTGCTTTTTTTTTTTTTTTTTTTTTTGAAACAATTAAGTATATTGTTTAATTGTATTACACAGAACCAGCCAGAAGTTATCATTGACCATTAAAGGATGAGAATTTCAAATGCTTTTGCTCTCTTGTCACTGTTATCACAGTTCCCTTTGCTCTTGTGTTTCCAGGGGGTGGAGGTTTTGCTCTGAGAGCTGCAGTGGTGATAATTATTAATGCCTGGTCACACACAGACCTGATACTCCTCTTGTCCATTGCACATGGCAGCAGTGTCCACGTTACCTCACAGCAGCCATCTGCTAAGGAACAACTGTAGGGTGTTGCTTTCCCTCTTGGTTGTGTTTCCTGGAGGAGCCTTATTTGTTACCTCAGGTTGATACCTTTTAATTGCTTAAGCACTGATGGTTGGGGGTAAAGGTGCCCCAGTTCTCTGCTGCCCTGCCACCCCCAACCATGACTCCCTCTGCACACAGGAAGTTTCTGCTCAGTTCTTGTTGACGTGGATGCATCTCCACTGAAATGCCTTGTACCACGTGCAGCTGAGGTGGGAACCCACCCGTCCTCCCTTTGTGCTGTGTCCTGACTATGCAGTTCCACTGCTCTTGCCTGGAGCACACCCTTCTGGAGCTGCCTGCTCCTGCTGCAAGGCATCCAGGCGGCTGCATCTTCTGACTGAAACTTTAGGATTCAGTCTTAAAAAAATCTTACTCTTAGCTTGGGAAGTATTTACTGTTTTGCGAGATCTGCCCGTGACTTTTAAGAGATAAGGACTGGCTGCCCATAATCTCCTCCTACCAGATGGAAAAAGGGCGTGGCTGGCGTTGGCAGGGCCAGCTTGGCACAGCCTCAGGTGTTGGGATTGGGATACAAGAGCCTGTGCACAGGTGGGCTCCCTGCTCCAGTGGTAGCTGCAGCCTGACCCCCACGGCTGAAACACCGACCTTGGCAGGGCCTCTCACGAGGTCAGACACCAAACATGAGTTGTTCTGTTCTGTCTCTCTCCAAATTTCCACCGCAGGCACCAAGAACTCCCCCTGGCCTCGCCTCCAGTGGCTGCAGTTTTGCTTTTCTGCTGAGGCAGCTTTTGTGTGAGCAGGACACGCAGCCCGTCCGTGTGTGCTGGGCAGGCTGGGATTGCTGGGAATTGTCAGCCTTTGGCACCTGCACAGGCAGCTGTGCCTGAGCGGGCCCGGGGCTGGAGGAAACTCCAGTGGCAGGGAGAGCTTTCTGGGAGGCAACAGCCCTTTGTACAGTGGCTGAGCTCTCTCCTCCAAGGTTAAAAGAAGCTGGGATCCAGAGCGTCTATTTATAGCAACAATGTACAGTTGCCTTGGCAGAGAGGAGGGGAAGAAATGCGACTACTTCGTCTCTCTGTGGTTAGGCCAGGCTGGGCAGGCTGCCCTTCCATCCTGATGTGTTTCCAAAGTGCTGTCTACTGGATGGATTTGAACCTGGTGACACATCTGCCATAGCTACTATTACAGGCCCTGAAATACCCTGTGCTGGCCACACCAAGTGCATTCTTGCTCTTTTTTACTCAATGCAGAATAATTCTCAGGGCCTTTAGTTCCTTTTCTTCACCAAACCTCTGTGGTCCTGACACTTTTTTTGTGAGGGATATAAGGAAAGAAAAAAACAAACCCCTCCTGCTTTCCCTTCCTCTAAGGTTACCTCCTGTGAGGAGCTGGAGTAGACCAAAGGATTTGTTTCATAGCAATGTAATTTATTTGTCATCAGATGAGCACCCACAGTCAGGACATACGAGGCAGGACATGGAAAATGCTGGCAAGTGCATGGAGGTGGCAACAGGGGTCTGGACCTTGGTTTTCCTACTAGTAGGCTTTATTTTAATTACAAGTTAAAAAAAGATTATTTCTGTCCTTACTGAACTCTCTGTGCAGCAATTCCTTTTTCCTAGTGCTGGTACCTCTCACATGAGGAGAAGAGGCCAGGAATGGAATATGGCACTCCCTGAAGCCTGTGATGTGTGAACAGGCAGGTATCATTCCCCGCTGGATGTGATCCTAATGAACCTCTGTGATTGCTCTGAGGCAATGAGAACTAAGGGTCTGTCTGCTAGACTGTGCATCCTACACACACAGGTTCTCCTCTGCATCCAGGAGACAGGGCCTGGCATCCACGGGATCACACCTGCCCTCCAGGCCTGTAGGTGGGCCAGGTGTGCTGCTGTCACCTTGCTGTGTCTTGCTGTGCTGTTCTACCTGGGCAGTGCTTTCCTGCATTCTCTGGTGCTTGGGGTTCGTACTGTGCTGCCAGTGCAGAGTTAAATGTCCCTGTACATCAGTAAGACACGGTTCAAACAGGTAAAATGAGGCCAAATACACTCCAACTGTACATCAGTTACTTCTTTGGAAGTGGCACTGGACTCGAGCTTAACAGATCAGATGACCTGGCATGTTAACAAGCAGCAGCTCTGTGCAGTTTCCCACTTCAAGCAGCGTGTTCTGGATCGGATTGGAGGGAGTGGGAAGGAGACACTGATCACGAGAGCTGAGGGCTGTATTTCACAGGGGCCACGGCGTGGGGAAAGCCAAGATCTGCTTGTGTGAAGGCAAAACAGGTGGGGTTTATTTGTAGCAGCCCAGTAGATCTGAGCATGCCTGGAGTGAGGTGCTGTGTCCCAGCACAGGGACGTCCCTAGCTGCAGAGTGTTCCCTTGAGTCACCCTCCCCTGCAGCCTCAGCTCTGCCCCACTGTCCGAGCACTCCTCCTTCTCCAGGTGAGGTTTAGGTCCTGTCTTCCACCAGTGTGGGGGAAACCATTTCCCACTCTCCATGCAATAGTAAACTTCAGTATTCTGAGAAAGGTTTTTCCTGCAGGAGCACCTCCAGTGATGTCCCAGCTGACTGCAGGGGCTCAGCCCGTCCCTGCAGGTACTGCTCAGGCAAGCTGAGCTCTAAGAGTCCTTTGCTTTTCTCTCCTTTTTTGCTCTAGATGCCATTAAGGTGAAGAAGACCCTGGGGCAGAGGTTCCTCAGGTAGACAGCCAGGAAGGGAGTCAGGCCAGCCACAAGCACTTCCTTCTTCCTCTGTCCCACTGCATTGAGAACCACCTGAGCCACCTCGGCCGCCGTCTGTCCCTGGGCCGTGGTCTTGTCCATAACTGCCAAGGGAAAACCCAGTGAGCAGCAGTGTCAGCAGGTAAACCCACACCGAGGAACCTTTCCTAGGAATGCTCTAACTCAACATGGCAGCTTGTATTGGCTTTTACTCCAGTTGTGCAGGGGAGCACAGGCGGGCGTGACTCATGGTTGGGCCAGTAGCTGCTGTCTAGGAAGGTTCAGTTTTGGAGGTTACTGTTCCTACCTGCATCCCAAGCGGTTTTTTTGATCCTTCAGAACTAACCTGTGTCCCCACCAGAGGCAAGCACACCTCGTAGCAACCCGCTGGGGTTGAGATGCTTTAGAAACGGGGGCACCAAATCGTGTCTCACCTCCGTAGCGAGATCCATCTGCCGTGATAGCGTTGAGAGAGAGGTTTGTCTGGATGTATCCGGGGCTCACAACTGTCACATCGATGTCATACTGCTCCACCTCTGCTCGCAGGCAGTCAAAGAAGGCCTGGGTAGCGTGCTTAGAGGCAGCATCTGAAAAACAGGGAAAGGGCTGTGCACCAAGGAGGAGGAGCAGGGCTGAAGGAATATTCACTGCCCAAATGGCTTTTTAACACTGCAGTGCAGCCACTTCTCAGCAAGAACCCAGCAGCTGTTCTCCAGCTTCTACATTTGTTTTTGTTTAGTGAATGGCAGCAACAGGTAGTGGGAGTGAGAGGCAATTTAGGAAGGCAAAATGTAAACTCAAGTTGGAAACTGGCTGGGATCCTGAGCTTACTATCACAGCCCTGCCAGAGTACTCCAGAGTGAGCCCAGGCTGCCTCCCAGTCCTGATAAAGGAGACCCAAAGCCTGGCTTGGGAAGTGTTGGTCACACAGGCTGTGTGTGGGGAGGGCAGAGCTGGCAGTCCCTGCACGGTGCTGAGCACTGGGGACTTGCAGAGCAGGTTCAGAGCTGCACACGAGTCAAAACCAGATCTCACAAGCAGGCAGGAGCAGGGAAGCATGGCCTGGGGCAGGATTTCCCCTGTTAAATGGCTGAGTGACTCCGTTTCCTTGCTCCCTTCCCATATCCATGGTCACTGCCACCACCTCACCATGGCTGCAGGGCTGACCCCGGCAGCACGAGCTCAGCACGGGCTGCACACCCTGTGAGGACCCAGGCAAGGGCTCTGGGAGCTCTTCAGAACACAATTCCTGGAGCAATCACCTGCAAGACCCCATAGCTCAGACATTCCAGGCTCTCCTCCACTCAGCATTGTGCCTGACCCATCTTATGCCACCACCACTGTCCTTTCGGTGTTTATTTTCAGTGATTTGCAGGTGCTTGTGTGCTAAACACTCTACTCTTGGTTCATCCACCTTTTAAAAGGGTTTTTCCAGTAATCTCACCAATATTATTTCTTGTTGTAGCTGATTTAACATGAACAATTTGCTGGATCAAGATGACTGTTCAGGCTTTTATTTTGGCATTGGTTTTACTATGGCACTTCATAAATTATTAAAACAAAAGGGTTCTACTTTCTTATTGCAGATTAACCAAGCAAACAGCAAGGATAAAATGCAATAAAATTATGGAATTATAAGGACTCTCAAGTGTTAAAATAGGATTATCAAGGTGTTTTCAGGACACTGAAAACATACTGTCCTTCTCCATCCCTTAACAACTTCGGGACAGGACTCAGGTTTTGTATTTGAGAGTGCCTTCCTCATCTTCTCTCAGTGATTTGTGACCACACTGAGGGTGATGCACAGCTCTGCCTTCCCTGCACGCAGCCAGCTCCATGGAGAGCTAAATGTGGAAGCAGGAGCCAAGTATTTATTCAGCCTGGTGCCCCAAATATGTCTTTCCCATCTTCTGTGGAGGTACTTACATGCAGATCTGAAAGGAATGCTTATTTTGCCTTGAACGCTGCTGATGGCCACAATGTGGCCTTGTCTCCTCTTGATCATGGAGGGGAGAAGTGCTAGCAAAGGACAGAAAAGACTCATTCAGACAACAGTCCTGCCATTGCTGCTGTCGAGAATCAAAGCTTTCAGAGTGTTTAGAGATGCTGAAGTGAACTGGATCCCTTCCCAAATTCCTGCCAGCCCAGAGTCAGGAGACGGAACAAGGAATCATCTCTAATCAGGCACTTCCCACACAGTCCTGCCCAAGCACCTCCTTAGGCCTGTCCATAACCCAAAACCTTCCACCCACCCCTCTCCTGCTGCACTGCACCAGGCACAGTCACAAACACAGGTTAAGCTATGCTTTGCTGTGCAGGGGCCTCAGCCAAATCCACGTGGATCACACGTACCTTTGGTGAGGGCTACGGGTCCGAAATAATTCGTTTCCATCACTTTCTTATCCACGTCCAGTCCCGTGTCCACAATTGTGCCTCGGAAGCTGATGCCTGCGTTGTTGATCAGGATGTCCACGTGCCCCAAGTGCTTCAGGATCTCCTCAGCACCGTTCAGCACAGCTTTGGTGTCCGAGAGGTCAAACACCACAGCGTGGGGTTTGTGTGTCTGCGAATGAGTAAGAGTTAGCAAAACACCAGCTCAGGCTGTGCTGGTTGTTTACACTCAGGATGGGATTTCCCAGCTCTGGAAGCACAGGAGCAGGGCCATCCAGACCATATGGCAGGAATACATGAGAGAAGCAGGTTGTGCTCTCGTCTGCTCCTGCAGCACGGTCCTTATACCCGAGCCCAGGAAAGGGGCAAGGGAGAGCTTCCTCAAGTACTGAGATTTCCTGCTGTTTTATTAAAGACAAAGCATCTGAGAAAGTCAAAACTTAGCCCATGTGTTTCCTACAGAAGCCAGCAATACCTTTTTTTGCCACTGTCAGCAGAAGTAGACATGAAAAATAAAAGCCAACAGATGAAAAGTCACTTTTGCAGATTCAGTGTGTGACATACAGGAGCAAGGAGCCTGGGCATTGCACTCCCACGCTTTCCCTTCCATTTCTAGCCAAGGAGTCTTTCAGATGCCTTATTCTGGTAGGGTTTTTACAAGAAATGACATGCCAGCTCAATGTACTCCTATATCAACACCTATCCCTAAGCAGAGAGCTGCATTTTTCCCATTGCTCCACAGAACGAGCCACAGGCAGTCCTGTAACCTCCGCTAACCCCACGAGCAGAAATCCCAACCCCACAGAAGCCCATCCTCCTCCCACACTCACCTTCTTCCGGTGATTCTTCACAGCAGAAAGCTGCTGCACCAGCTCCTTGAGCTTCTCACTGTCCCTGCCACACAGCACCACCTTGGAGCCAGCTGCGTGGAAAGCTTTGGCACATTCTTTGGAGGAGGCAAGGAGGGGAGGAAAGTAAGTGCTTGAAGAACAAACAGCAGATCCACATCAGACCTGGTGGCAACTGAAACTCCCGTTGGCTGGCAGGGGTCTGAGGTGGCTCCACAGCTCCTGAGTAATGGTCTGGCTGATTTACAGCCAGGTCACAGCCGTGTGAGTGTGACAGACACATGGCAGTGGTGAGGCAGCTGCTGTGCTCACAGTTACTGTGCTGCTTGTGCAGTTATTGTGCTGCTTACACGCCCTCCCCATCAGCTGGTTGGATTTACCTGTGCCTCTTCATTTTTGACTTCATGACCTCCTCAAGAGGGACCACAGTTACCCTGTGTGTGTCATCTAACACAGTGGGGAGTGGACAGTTTGGCAAGGTAGCTGGGACTACAACATGAGTGCAGAACGCCAGTTTGGGGAAGTTTTAGAGAAACAATTTGGCTTCTGGCTTTTTCAGGATTTAGGGAAAAGACCCCCGACAGCACAAGAACAGTGTATCTCATTCCTTGCTTTGATGAGCTCCAGTTTATACAGGATGATTAAAATTCTCCTTAACAAACCAGACTTTCTTGCATCCAAATCTGCACTGGCTGTAGCTGTGACTGACGTGGGAGCGCAAGCCATGCCTCTCAGAACTCGGAGCAAAGGAACTCCCTGCTCATCACTGCTTTATCCCAACAGCTGCCCCTTCCCCAACCCTCTCCCTGTGCCATACCTTTTCCCAGGCCAGAGGTGGCCCCTGTGATCACCACCACAGCTTCCTGCAGGTACGCCCGCATCCGCATCCACTGCAGGAACCGGAAAAGGCCGAAGATCCCCAGGCTGCCGAAAAGCAGCGGGATGATGACTGTGCTTGTGAAATCCATGAATCTTCCTTTCTGAACAGTTTTCCTACAGCCACAGGATGAAAGGAGACAGATCATTGCACTGTGAAGAAAATTAGCAGAGGCTGGAAAACGGGGGGACCTTGGACCAAGAAAAAACTAATCCCATACAGAGGTATCATCAGCAGATCTCCTCATCCCTTCATTTAGACTTCGGAAAGTTCAAATCAGTACCCAGTTTTAAGCATTTAAATGCTAATCTGGACATCCCAGCAGGACACTTGGCATTGGATCCTGTCAGCTGTCACGTAACAACTTGGGTTCAGGGATGCTGTTCCCGTGTTTTGCTCCAGATTCACCCTCTTGAACAAACTGTGCTTAGAGTGAAAGTTCTATGTCCCCACATTCTTCTGATTGCAATAAAACCTCTCAGATTTCTCTAGGACAGCCAGTACCACAGTACCTACAAGCCAGAGATCAGTTACTGTGTATTATCCCAGATGGATATAAGCCAATCTGCATTCTGGAGGCTCCAGGTTTTCTCTCCGAGCAAGTTACTTGCTTAACACACTGAAATCTCACCCTGGAATTGGATTCTGATACCAAGGCATAGCCCTGATCTCCTTGCTAAGCCATTCCTTCAAGGGAGTAGTTTGTGTTACATCCCACTACAAGGCCAAAGAGCAGGTGAGACTCCTGCTGTGAAAAGGCCACTGATTTCCCCAAACTTTTATTAAAGCTTGATGTCAGGGTGAAGTCAGTGACAACCCCTTCCTGGCATCTGTGCCACTTCTGGGTCACTCATAAAGCCAAACCCAAATCTCAGTGTGTTTTCCCTTCCTCGTCCTTGTGCAGACAAGACTTTGAACTCCTGCAGTTCAAACTGCAAGACAGATCTTTACTGGGAAGATACTGGAATGTTCTGGGCACAAAACCCGTGCTACTTCAAACCAAAGGCACAAGAAGCAGAAAACAAGAGGTAAGTGCAATGCTAAGCCAGAATTTAGTGCCACTGAGCTTGTGTGGAGCTGAGGGGATGGCAGAGGCTCTACATGCCATGGAACAGAGCTAATGTGGAAAATATCAGGCTTTCCAGATGTCCATCAGGGGCCTGGAGAGAATTCCTCAAGTACCTGTTAGTGAACAGACTAACTTGCTGAAACAACAGTGAACTGAATAAAGTAAATATTTCTGGAGGTGCAGCTGGAGCACAATAATATAACCCCAGTGGCCTCTTCAGGCTGGATCAGAAGGTTCAGCTGGTCACTGAAAGCAGCTGCCTTTTTGTAGCTTCTCAGAGGTCTCCTGAGATTCAGAGGACGAGACGTGGGCAGGGCCAGCAGGTGCTGTGCTGACACTGGGCTGACAGCACATCCTGGAATCAAAAATCTCCAGCCCCCACTCAGGCCCTTCCATCATTCCCAGAGTGGGAGCTGGCAGGTGCAGTGGCACTTCCTGAGCACAGGCTGAAGGGGAGGCACTTCAGCAAAAAATCTGGCCCTGACCAAATTGCTTCTGATTTCAGTGAAATGCAGGTGAAAAGGTAACTGGGAAAGGGGGGCTTTCCTGACACCTTTCCTCATCAAATCACACCAGGAGATGGGAGGGAGTTCCTTGTTTGATCACAGCATGGTTCTTTCACATTCTTTGGCAAAAACAAAGGTTGGCTTTGCAAGGCCTGAACTCTCTGTCCCAGTGGAAAAGAGCCCCCAAACCTATGAATAAAAGCCGTATTTTAGACACATGGCATCCACTGCTCCTCAGTATGAACCAGTTGTGCCTGGTTAACTTAAAACCACTATCATTCATTTAATTTCTAAACAAAGAAGCTCTGGCCTTTAATCCTTTTCGGATTTGAAAAATATTTCCAGGTCTTTTATTCTTTTTATTTTCCTTGGTTTTTTTTTTCCCTGTTATTTCTCCATATTACAGACAGGAACTGGGCAGATTATCCCTCTCTGCCTGAGGGCTGCAGCCAGCCAAGAACCCAGTCAGCAGCAGCAGCAGCAACCTGCTCTGGCAGCTTCCAGGTTGGAGTCTGAATCAACAGGTAACCAACAGACCCTGGGGAGAGGAAATGTGGGATGGGGGAGAGAAAGGAGCAGAGAAAGAGGGAGCAGGATTTGCCAATCAGAGATTTGGATCCCTTTCCATGAGGGCACGTGGATGCAGTACCTTCTTCCCAGCAGGGTGCTCACATGGCCCCTTAAAAGAGCCCCAGAACAAAGAAAATCTCAGTCCACTCAGCCTTGAGGGAGAGGAGAGCCCAGCTGAGTAGGTTATTTCAGAAAGAAGAATTTCTGTAGCTGGTTTGAGGTGAACTGGGTGTCTCAAAGGTCTGAGACCCCACCGTCACCTGTGTTCAAAAATTTGGGTATTCACGCTGAAAAAAAAACAAACTCTTATCAACAGGTGATGTTTATGACACCAAAGTTTTCAGCAGGAGAGAAGCCACTGCTCATGAACAGGTTCAGATCAAGTCCTGTGATACCCAGGTCTCCATCCCAGAAGGCAGGATTGGAACATGCAGGTTACAGAGAAATGAGAGAGCAGAAATAAGAAAACTGATAATGGGAGTGAATACAGGTGACTGGAAACTTATTGAAGGCTTCCCATAAAAGAAATCACAATAATCCAATTAACAAAAAACAAAACAAAACAAAAAAAACACCAACCAACCAAACAAACAAAAAAAACCAAACAAAAACAAAACCAAAACTTTCCCTTTAAAACAAAAAATTGGATGTTATCCTATGAAAGCCAGGACAGTGATTTCTGAAGGAACAAGGAGTAGTTAATAAGCTCAAGGGGCTCACTAAAGGCAGCAAAGATGAGATCAAGTCCTAAAAGAAACCAAACCCCTGGAGAGCTCCCCCCAAAACCACCTCTTTTTGTAGCTTCAGCCTCCCAGAATCCCCTTGTCCTTTACGGGACGAGGGGCAGCAACTGGGGGGGCTTCATTCCCAAACCCAGGGGGATAAAAGGAAAGGGAGGGGGGGTGGGAAATCTGGTTTTCCTAAGGGAGAAGCACAGCAGCTCTAGGCTTGATTAGTGGCTTTAGTCTGCAGAAAGCACCGTGTCCTACCTTGGGGAAAGAGCTCACTTGCAGTGGCTCTGGGCTGGTGTCTCCCTCCGGTCCCACTTAAATTTGGAAGTGGCAGAGATCCAATAAAATGTGCTGTGTCCAATGCCAGCTCAGCCAAGAGCTGCCTCTGAAAACAAACCTCGGGAATACGGGCTGTGACCTTTCCAAGGGAGGGGAGGGGGGGGAGGAGAAATTTAAATTTAACCCCCAGGTTGAAAAGGCAAAGTGAGCTCAAAATGGGACCAAACTGACAGCGACCCTCTGATTGTTCCTAGTACCAAATCAGGGCATCCATAAGGATCAGTGCTGGTCTTTCCATGCTCTAGATGGAAAAAAAAAAAAAAAATAGAAAGGCAATTCGAGAATCAGCTGTAATTCTCTATTACTGTAATTAATTTGGGGGCATACCCTGATGCACACTCTGAATGGGTGTCAAGCCAGCAATCTCCCCTGGGAGGGCACTGAGGCCCTCGGAAATCCTCGATTGGTGTTTGGGATGGAAACGAAAGTGGCACGATTAGAAAATTTAAAAAAAAAAAATGTTTTTTTTGCCAAAGAAACTATTTTAGCAGACATTTACCAAATAAAGAATCGCCAAAAAAACCAACCAACCAAACAAAGAAACTTGAGAACAAGAGAGCTGGCTGAGTATCTCCCATATATACTGATAATATATAATCATCTATAATTATGTCTTTAATGGCGGTAACAGCGATGAACTCTGTACCGGGGGAGCGGAGGAGCCAGGGCCGCCGCCGCCTTCTCCCAACCTCTCCCGCACTTCCCAGACTCCCACCCCTCACGGGGCCGCTCCCGGGTGCCTCCCGATCCCCCCCCATCCCTCCGTGTCCCCTCCTGTCCCCACCTGGCCTGGGCCGCCGTCACCATGGCCACGCCGGAAGTGCCCTCAGGAGGGTCCCGCCCTCACCGGTCCGCCCGCTCTGCCGCCCGGGCGGGGAGCGGCGCTGCCGCTCGGGGGTTCCGCCGCCCTCCCCACCCCCGGGGCTCTCCCTCCGCCTGTGGAAGAATCCCTGAATCCCAGAATCCCACGGTGAGTGAGGTTGGGAGGGTTCGCAGTGGGTCGTCTGGTTCATCCTCGCTGCTCAAGGAGGGTCATACCAGAGCACGCGGCACAGGATGGTGTCCAGACGGCTCTGGAATATCCCCAGTGAGGGAGACTCCGCAGCCTCTCTGGTCTCTGTTCAGTGCAGAGTTCTTCCTCACGTCCAGGTGTAACTCCCTGGGCACCAGTTCTTCCCGTTTCCTCTTGTCCCGTTGCTGGGCACCCCCGAGCAGAGCCTGGTCCATCCTCTGACAGTGATGGGGTCCCCTCTCAGCGTCTCCTCTTGGGGCTGAACAGCCCCAGCTCCCTCAGCCTTTCCTCGTCACAGACGCTCCAGTCCCTTCAGCATCTCTGCAGCCCCTGCTGGACCCACCCCAGGAGCTCTGTGTCCCTCTGTCCCGTGTCTCCTCCATCCTCCGGCCGAGCTGTCCCTGGGCTGTGCTGAGGGACGCTGTTCCTGGGACTGGAATGCCCAGGGATGGATGGAAGGGGACAAACAGGAGGGTGGGTTCAGCTCAGCTTCACCCAACACCTCATGATATTTTTTTACCATCAGATTCCAGACAGGGAGATTTGGCTGTTCCAGAACAGCTGTGCCTCTGGCTCAGTTTTGGGGAGTCCCTGTAATTAACCTGAACTCCCAGACTGGGTGTCCTGATGAGCCTGAAAGAATTCCCATCTGCAGCAGGGATATTTCAGATGCACATTGCTGATTACCCCCAGTTAACTCTGCCCTCTTTGATACCTCCACATGAAGGTTGGAGGTGCAGAAACACCACGGGACATCCTGAGTCAGGAGGGGCCCACAGGGATCATCGAGTCCCATCCCTGGCCCTGCAAAGGGCAACCCCAAAACCCCACCACGTTCCTGAGAGCACTGCCCAGCGGTGCTGGCACAGGACAGGACTGTGTGGAAGGATGGGGTGAATTCCTGGAGGAGGAGAGAAAGAGCCGTTTCTGCAGAGCCCCTTTCAAAGCCGTGCTCAGGGAAATCTGAATTCTCCCTTTCTCCCAAAGAGCTCTGGGCAGGAATGAGGGCCTGGCTGTGCTGCAGGTTCTGCAGCTTTAAATCTCCTCTCCCAGGAGCTGGCACTGATAAGGGGCAATAGCATTGCCAGGCTGTAGCACAAACCTGAGGGCCCAAAGTCCAAATGTGTAAGGGCTGAGGAAGGAAAAAGCACATGGCTTCATCCCAGCACAGGGAGCTCTTCCACCTCTTACAGTGTGTGTGAGCAGAGGGCACTTTTACAGGTTCAGAAATACTGAAGTGTTTTCCAGAGACAAGGGCAGTTAATCCCAGAAGTCTTTCCCTAAAGATAAAGGGCAGCTTTTCATGGCAGATCTTTGAAAGACTGTTCTGTCGTAAGTTTTTGTGATAACTTTGTTCTGCTCCTCTCTTCTAATGAGAGAAATACTGAAATGAATTCACAGCTTCGGTGTAATTTTGTCATTGGTAAGGGATCAATACCTGAGGGAAAAGGAGAAAAGAATTCAAGATCTTCCTAAAAAAATCACATTCTGAAAGGAATGGTGGCAGTGCACTTTTTTTGACTTCAGGACCAACGTGAAATGAAATCAATAATTTTATTTGCAGAAATGAAATTAAAAAATAGAACCCAGAGAAAGGTAATTGATGTAGTGGCAGCCTTGCAGGGAGCTGTAGTCAGTTCAGTCTTCTGAGAACCTGGAGCTGGAAAAGGCCATTTCAGAGCATCTTTCCCACCCAAGTGGGGCAGGATGAGCTGTACCCCAATGCCCAGGATGGCAGTTCCCCTGGAGCTGTGCCCAAGCTCCTGTGGTCACTCGCCTGGTATCTGCCAGACACTTATTTTAACAGGGAATGGTCTGTCACCAGACTGGCAGGTGCTGGCAAAGCTGATTGAAACCAAGTGCCCAGTGAGTCATACAAAAAAAGAGTCAGGCTGGAGCTGCAATTGGAGAGGGAAATTCATTGAAATAAAGCTTGACTTTGTTGCTTGGATTGGGGTTCCATTTTCTTGGGTTAATCTACTGTAATTAGCAACAAATTCACCTCTGATTTAAACCTGCTGGCTGACACATCACACACACTGGATGGTGGTTAGGTGACTTACATATGTCAGCATGTCTTTGTTCTCAGAAGCATTAGTGGGGAATCCATCCCAAATCTAGGGCTGGTTTTGGAGGCCCTACAAGCCCCAACTGGTAAATGTTGGTATAACTAAACCCACGCCTGTTGTTTTTATTAGCACTCAAATCTCCCCTCTTTTCTTCCTCACTGTGTCAGGCCACAACTGCAAAAGGGCTGGAATCCTTTTAGCATGTTAACACTTCCTTGACAAACATCCTGCTGCTCTCTTGAAGTGCAGGAGCTCTTTTTTTGAGAGGGAAAAAAAGAATAAATCTCCAAACTCCAGGAACTATTTGCACTTATGCTTGGTGACATCTGCTTTACTGCAGTCATCACTGAGTGCAGATCTGCAGCCTTTTCACCTCAGTCTCTAGGGCAGCAATTTTGTGCCCTAGTTCTTCTGGGTGCTTCTTTGTCCCCTTTTTTTTCCAGGGAGTGTAAGATGTAGCTCCTCTCTGTACGAAAAGCTTTGGTTACTTACCCTAAGAGTAAAGATCTGGGCAGAAATCCCCACGGGGTAACAAAAACCTTCCCTGGGGAAAACATCCTTGAAGTAGTTTGAACTGAAAGCTTCCCGATTTCACAGTGCCTTTGGCTGGAAAACGTAAATGTTCAAAGGGCTGTGGCGTGATTAAAGATTTTTCTTGTCTCAGCCTCTGATGTGAGGGTGCAGGTTCTCCTCCTTCCCTCTCTGCTCCCATAGATTGAGTCTATAGGAGTGAGTGAAAACAGGCCAGGGTGGTAGGGGAAAAAAAACACAGAGAGCTATGATGGAAAACAGAGAAATAAGGGCTTCTTTTTGCAGATAGTTCTCTGTGTCCCTTCCACACAGTGGACCCGAGAAGATGGTCTTGATTTTTGCCCCCGTTGCAGTTCTGGTTTGGAACTGGGCTCTGACCCAAGGACGTCAAACTCCTTTCAGAGAACTCTCTCTGGACACTTGGTCGCTGTTTCTCTCAGCTCTGGTCTCTGGGAGAGTTCTGCTCTAGCTTTGGTTCATTGCGGTTCACTCGCTGGGTTTTTTCCACCACCTGAGTATTCTTCTTCTTTTTCCAGTTATTTTCTATAAGGTTTGGCTCCAGTTGTTTGTAATTACTGCCTTCTCCAGACCCTGCACTGCAGCATTTCCAAGCTCAGTATGAGAATGGTGTAGACTTAGTGGAACTGCATTTCTGATGTGTGATCGTGCTGCAAATCCCCAATCCTTGCGGATAGCTCAGAAGCTGGGGAAGAGGGAGAGGGAGCAATATGCTCTCCTCCTGCAGCTAAAGAGCCTCAAACATGCACCACAACCATCTGAATGGAGCTGAATGCCTCCAGGGGAGATAACAACGTTTTGTCACGCACAGAAATGGCAAAGCTGAGGTACCATTTCCATACAACGAGGCTAATTGTGGCTGTTTTAATTGCTGAGGGGACAGCTCAGGCCCACTGTAGAGAAATATCTCCTACATGCAGCTTCAGTGCTCTCAGGATATCCAACCCTGGCCTTCCCTGCTGCCTTCCCTCCTTGGTTTGGAGTGGGGAAAAACAGTCAAGGGCTGTGGGCTGGGCCCCCAAGAGCTGTACACATGCAGGGCCCACCGCTCTCCTGGGTTTTGGTGGGTCAGGAAGGAGTTAAATGACAGCAGAGGGAGAGGCTGTGCTATTGTTCAGGCATCCCTGGGTCCAGGGTGGCTGATCTCTATTCCCGGATCTGCCTCTGGCTTCCTGCACGACCTTGGACCGCTCACTTACCTTTTCTTTTCCTTAGCTCCCAAACTACAACATGGAAATCCTTCTCTTCCTGCGGTGCCTCGTTCCCTGCGGGTTCCAGTGGGGCTGAGATTCGCCAGGGGATGATGATGGGAGGAGGGGAACACATTTCCACTGCAGAAATATTTACACAGAGGGCAGCAGTCTGGGGGCATGTTCTTGTTGGTTCTGATCCAGCGCGGGCTGTGCATATTTGGGTGATATTTGGGTTTTTTAGAAGCAAACCTGTGGTGAAAGGCAAACGCTGGGGCAGCTGCCCAGAGCGCTGCCAGCTGCAAGGAGCCTGTTCTTCACTAGATGGTGCTTTGATCAAAGGTTTGGATAACCGCAGTTCTTTCTGCACAGAATTTCCTAATTTTTCTTCCCCAGTCTCCATTCCTTCCCCTCTCCTTTCCGTGCTTTAACACCACGGGGGACACTTAATGATGCTGGATATCGAACCAGGCTAATCTGTGGGACTGCAGGCTCCAGGCACCCACCAGCCCGCCGGGCTCCTGGGCTTTGGGGTTTGAAGCCTGGATCAGTGTGCTGGGCTGTGGCAGAGAATTGAATTCTTTCCGTGTTTTCTATTCCCATAAGGAAAAGGCTTCAAAGAGCAGGTCCCCTCCCCCTCTCTGCTGGTGAAGGGCATTTAGGGAAGCTGGGGAAAAAAAAAAATCCAGCTCTGACAGACGCATTTATTTAACAAACCACTGCCTTTCCCTACCTTAGCAGAAGACTGGTTGGTTTTTAAAAAGGGAATTGCTGCTTTTATATCCATCTTTGTATTCAGGGGATGGTTACCTAGCCAAGGTCATTGCTGCTGCATGCCAGGACCGAACAGGGAGCCAGCCTCCTCTTCCTTTAACCAGCACTGATTTCAGTGGGGCTCCCCCACGGGAGGAGTGGGAATAGGGTTGGATCGGCCAGCACGAGGTCCCAGGGTCCACAGGAACAGCCTCCCCTTTCAGAACGGCAGCAGAGGAGATGAATGACACCGTAACCAAACATTTCCTGCGCAGACATGCACGGGGCAGGGCTGTGCTGCCACCGGCCGTGGCAGCCTCTTCCCAGCATCCCACCCCGGCTCACCGCGGGATAACCGGGAGCTGGGCCCCATCCACGGCTCCCACCCCTCGGCACTCGCCTGCAGCGCTGAGGTTTGTCCCTGCAGCCTGGCGGTCCCAGTTCCCCAGTGCCAGGCTGGTGTTCCCAGTGCCAGGCTGGCGTTCCCAGTGCCCCGGCTCCAGGCAGCCACCCCGTCACTCCCACCGCGCCCACCTCCCTCCCCGTGGAATTCACGGTCTGAGGCCAGGAGGGATTTCGCTCCTGCCCCTGGCACTGCCCCGGGTGGCAGCGATTCCACGTGCCCGCAGCATCCCGCCCCTCACGCGTGGAATGTTGTGCTCATGGAAGTGACGTCCCCGGAGCAGGGACTCGAGCGAGGGGTGCTGAGCCGCGGGTGTGACACACAACTCCTCTCGGGACCGGGAGCTGGCAGTGATTTATTTGTCACCCCCCACTGTTGTCGTCGTCCCACTGCACACATATTTGTTCATCGTTAGTAAGATATTGGTGGTGACTAAACCCTGGGTCTGCATCACACAGAAATTCGCCCAGAACTGCGGGGATGGAGACTGAGAAGTGGGGACAGGGCATTTCCTCACATCTATTCCATCTGGAGAGCAAACCCCTCTCCCAGTCCCTCCTGGCTGACAGGGAATTGCATCACTGGCCCGTGCAGATATTCCTCCCTCCTCCCCCCCAAAATGTGCTTATTTTATTGTTTTCCTCCGATGGAATTTGCCAGCGTGTCCCCAAATTAAGTGGTTCTGAAATTCAAAAGCAGCATACCTGTGTGGGGGAGAGAACGAGTGGTTTTCACTGTGCGAGCTGGCTCTCCCTCCCCTCCTCCCTTCTCCCCACATCCCCATGTGTTGTGGAGCCAGATGCTCCCGGAATAGTTTGGGAATGAAATGTCACCGTTTGAAACTGGTGAGTCACACTTTTGGGAGGAGGGGAGGAGAGAATCTGAAATCTTGCCGTGTGGCAGAGCGTCTCCTGGTGAGTACAGAGAGATTTTTTAAAACCACAGACTCCCTGATGATGGACTTGAGGGGCTTTGAATAGAGGCTGCTGGGTGTGTCCACGCTGCTCTTTGCAGGAGGATCTCGAAATCCTCTGCAAACTTGGGTTTTCTTCCCAAACATGCCCACTGCAGCTGGATCCCGGTGCCTCCTCCAGCAGCACTGGGTTCTGTCTGTCTGACAACACACCTACAGTGACTCTCTTAATTAAGTCTCCCGCACTGCCGCGAGGTGTGTAATTACAGTGAGACCTGACTTAAGCAACTACTCGAGGGACTAACAAAAAAAAAAATCTTTACCAGAGCAGGGAGGAACAGAGTTTTACTGAATACATTTTTTGGAGATCTTTTTAGGAGAAGTTTATTAAACAAAGGGAGGTAATTACTCCATTTTCTTCCCAGTGTATCCCAATATTAGAACGATGCTTTTAATATATTGGGCATTATCACAGTCAGGAGGTTTTTTCTCTTCCAAAAGAAGACCTTGAGATCTTTTGTCTTTTGACAGAGATTGCTACAAAAAAGTGTCAATTAGTGCAAATGGTGGCAATCATCTTGCAAAATGAACTATTATTTATGAGAACCTCAGTAGTTTTCCCTCCTTGCCCAACCCCTGACGAGTGATCAACTTTTTTTTCAGAAATGCAGTTTTAGGGTGTTATAACCACCCATTCTCACCACTCTGCATGGCAGGAGGTACCAAGAATGGTGTGTCTTGATGTAGTTGTGATGTTAATGGTGTCCCCCAAAGAGCTGTAGCAGTTCCAGGTGGACTGATTTTGGATGTTGCTGTCCCCGAGGTGGCAGCTGGACTGTGCATCACCACTCACAGCCCAGAGTACTAATCTAACCCACCAACTATTTCAGGTTCCTTTGCTATTCTGAGCACCGTGGGGACACGGAGGAGGGAAGATGTGCCACCCATCCTGCAGCCCCTGTTCCAGCAGTAATGATCTCCAGCTGAAGGACAGGAAGAAGCTGGAAACAGTAATATCAGAAATAGTCCCCACCTCCAGTGGCATTCTGAGTTCATGCTGTGAGTAAAACTCCCGAATTTCTCACCAAGCCCGCAGCAAACTTGGTGGGGATTTTGCAAGCCTAAGCCCTGGGGGGGTTGATGCCATCTCTGCCTGTTTTATTCGGAAGACTGAGCTCAGAGCAAGATTTTCTGAAGTGTGCATTTCTATCTCAAATTTTAGATAGCGTTAACTAGAAACCCACATACTCTGGCTTTGACAGAAATCATCTCTGGCTGCAGAGATTTGCTGCAGAGCCCAAGGTTTTCTTTAATACTAAATAAAAGAACCCCAGAGACAACCTTGAGAAGTCAAGTCTGTGTGCCATTCCAAATGCAGTTTCCCAACAGCGAAGCCTGTTTATTCTCTTATGTGCACCACTGTTGCCCTCTTTATTTGACTCAGACTGTTTTCAGTGATTTCACACTGCAGGGCTGCACAGAGTTGAGCCAGCAATGCTGCAGGAGCTGAAAGTTGCAGCAGCAACGTAGGAGTGAGCCAGGGAACCAGGTAGGAAAGGGAACCCCTCTGGGTACCTGCTACACCTTCAGGTTTGAACTTGGAGATATTCCAAACCAGTACCTCTTAAAGGGATGTGAGTGTCAGTGGATCATCAGTTCTGAGGTATAAGGACAATATTTAGCACTTGATATATCCTTACCTCTGTTGGTACTGGCATAGGTGTCTGCCTGGTAGGTTTAGTTCCCCAGATCCCTAATGAGGATTCTCTTTAGCCTGCAGATAACTCCCCTGATAACGCTGGGAGTGAATACTCCCAATGGAAAAGTAGCTTATTTCTCAGAATGAGGTTATTGTCCTTGCAAATTGAGTAACAAAAGATGAATTTACTGCGTATACAGCTCACTGGAGTACTGCGTGTTTCAAAGATAGGTGATGATTTCTTTAAAACTTAATGGCTTTTTACCCAAAGTCAAAGGATTTTGTCTCATCACCTACAGTGGGATTTCCCAGGGGACTTGAGAAAACACATCCTCAGCCTCTTGGACCTTGGCAAAGCTGATACATAATGTGTGGAAGTCTTCCCAACAGGAATAAGCAAGCCCGGAAGGCCAAGGTTACCACTGATTTGGTTTGAGGGGGGCAAAAAAAAAAAGAAAAAGACAACTGAAATGACGTTGGACATTCATTAGCAAAGCATTGTCAGAACACAATAGAAGAACAGACAAAAGCCAGTCCAGATTCTGTGGTATTTCCTAAAGGGCTCCCTCTGGCACACGGCTATTCCCTGCCAATCCTTCTGTATTGTTTTTGATAATGAATAGAAGCTGAACAGATGATTGTTGCATTGTCCACTAAGTGATTCATTTACATTAAATAGTGCTCCAAAAGTAGGCTTTGGGTGGACTTTTTTAGTCACTTTGGTTATTTATTTATACAGTTTAATTACCATCTTTTAACTCTCCACTGTAGTAATTATTTCCTGATTGCTTCAGCTAAATTACACGGGGTGTAACTCCTCTGAAGTCAGCAGCCCGACAAGCCCTGACATAAGAAGCAGCATCCCTGCATTTTCAAAGATGCTTAATTTTGAATGGCCACATGTAGAAAACTGCCCCTGATTTGGGAAGGTGCCGAGGTTCTTGAGCATCCCTTGTGTCCCTGGCTCTGAGAGTTGGGCTACAAAGCGCAGCCTTTGCTGCATAAACCATCAAAATTCCATGGATTTCCTTCTTGGTCTCTCAATTCCTGCTGCATGTCTGCACCGAGGTTCTTGATTAACCCAGGGCTTCCCTTACAATTCCAGGCTTTTCTTACAGAGGTCGAAAGTTTTGGTGTGGTGTGGTTTGGTTTGCAGCTGTGACAGATGTGAGGTACTTGAGGGCTTATTGTTGGAGAAGAACTTCAGTGTAAGAAGATATTTAGCTCCAAATCCATACCAGAACTGCAGGACCACTGATTTGGGTGTACTAATGGATGGGGGAGAATGACACATACTGAAGGGCTTTTTGATGGTTGAACAATCTGAGGAAATCAACATCCAGGCCTTTTCTCTCCAGTTGTCTGAGAAAGATGACTTTGTTGAATGGCTGCAGTTACATCTCTAAATCCCTGATCTCCTAATTATTCTCTGTCCCCCGTTCGATGCAGAACAGAGAGGTTCAGTGTGGGCTTTTGGTTCTGCCTGGGTGAAACAGTCTGGGGGAAGGCAGCAAAACAATGATAAAGAGAGAGGAAGGGAGCAGTCCTAATAGCACTGAGTTGTTCCTATAATGTGGCCTCAGTTTCAATCTCCCAGGGCAGCCTTTGCAGTCTCCTCTGACATTTGCTCGGTCCCTTCGCCATCCAGTTGGGAAAAATGAAATTGCCAGTCCTGTGCTGAGATACAAAAGAAAGAAGTTTGTTTTCGTGGGTTTATATGCCTGTACCTGCCAAGATGAGGCAAGACTGACTTTTTGCAACCAGTTTCCTACCAGCTCCTAAGCCAAATGAGCAGGGAGGACAAGAACACTCTGTAGCCTTCCAGCTCTTTGCCATTTGCTCTGGCTACGGCACCTGGGCAGAAGCTGCTGCGTGGTTGCCTCAGGTTTAGGAATGTGTTACATTCCTGTTACTCTCTCCTTCAGAAACTGCCTTTGCCTGGCCTGTGATTCAAGCAAACTACCCACCCTTAGTGCCTCCCTGAGCCTTCTTTTGGGTTATGTGGCATCTTCACAAAACTCAGCAGATGCAGAAATAAACCCAGCCCTCCCTCTGCACAACCCCCCAAAGTACTGCCAGGGTTTCCCCTGCTGCCTTCCCTGAACCCTCCAGCGCTGCTGTCCCTGTGTTCCCGCCCTCCCAGGAGCCCAGCTCGCTCTGTGCTCAGTGGCAGGCGATGAAATCAAACGCTGCATTAGCAGCTCCATAATAGCCGTGCTCAGTGGAACCCGGCTCCCTTCATTAATCCAGAAAATGAGCCTTGTTTTCGTACATTTGAGAAGCTAATTATTTAAGTGCTGGGAATTAAGGCTCATCAGATACTGGAGGCTGAGTTTGGTTTTGCTTCCCAGGGGATGGAATGAGACCAAGGGAAGTTGGTTTTGCACAGGTGAGCAGTGCAGCAAGTCACCAGTACTGGGAGCTGGGAACAAGAGTGTGCAGATCCTCGTCCACCTGATGTATTAAAGCCCCTCTCTTTGTACATCCCTGTTCTTCCAGACATCATCCAATGATTCAGAGAAGCTGCCCCATCCCTGGCAGTCTTCAAGGCCAGGTTGGACAGGACTTGGAGCAACCTGGTCCAGTGGAAGGTGTCCCTGCCCATTGCAGGGGTTGGAATTGGATCATCATTAATGTCCCTTCCAACCCAAACCATCCTATGATTCTATGATTCTTCCCATTTAAATAGATTTTTAAAGTCACCACTGATCAAATACCTCCATAGCTTTATTTTTTTCTGCCCCACTTGTCGTTGACCTCACCTGGATATTATGCAATAAATTAATATTGCCTTGTCTCAGGTGGGTTTTTAGAGAGGGAAACAACCTCATACCGGCTGTTCTTCTTCAATCACTTATCCTTCATCTTTACCTTTGACCACCACATTCAGGGAAGGGTTTAGATAGAAAAGCTGCTCCCTGGCCCGACAAGGAACATTCCAGTGCTTTGGGAAATGGAAGATGAGCAGGGTGAAAACCCCCCTTGTCTGTGGGAAACCACAGACGAGGCCAGATCTGCTGTTCTAAACAAAGTTTTTACAACAGAATGACTTGCAACAGTAGATGGGTGCTTTTGAAATTCTTCCCAGAAAGTGCCAGAGAATCAATTGATGCTATTGCCAATAACTATAGGCTAAGGAACAGGGACTGGGGGCTGATAGTGCCACTGGAGGGATCCCCTCTCTGTTACAGCAGCTTGCCAAGAACAAATGTTTCATTTTTATGGAGATGGCCAACGTCCTGCCTTGTCTTCAGAGACCGAGGGAGTGAACTGTTCTCTGTGTTCACTTGAAGCCAGATGTTAAAGTATTGTCTGGGTATAATTGACTTGACAAATAGCAGGAGTGACATTTTAGCTCCATTCAAGTCAGTGGCAAAATTCCTGTTGAGTTCAGCTGGGGCCAAGATTTCATCCTGTGACAGCGCTGACGGGAAATCTGATGAATGATCTCCAGAAAAATAAGCACGGGCACTGTGTTTGTCTGGGACCCTTTTCAATCTGTGGGCCACGAATCCTTGGAGTTCCTTGCACTGCTCTGAGGAGATCTGCAAAAAGCACTTTATTGCCAGTAGATTTAAGTGAGCTATCCAGGGGAAAACGTCAGGGTTTGATCAGCAAGTTGTAAGTCAGTTTGATCCACTGAAATCCACCTACCTGCGCAGTCCTTGCACTGCGTTGCTCACACACCTGATCAAAGGGAAAGGTTCCTGCTTACCTGAGAGCTAAACTGGACATTTTAAGGCATATCATGGGCAAGCACACCCAAGTGACACAGTAACAGTTGATTCATGTCTATCCAGAGGATCTACAAGTGCCACCTTGGGATGACACGGATTGAAGAGGCAGTTACTTCGCTTTTCCATGGGAAGAACGCGGCTTCTTCCCAGCTGAGCTATCATGGAACGCAGATGACTCTCTGGAGGAAGACTTTGCTGCACATTTGCAGTATGTTTTAGCTACTATCAACATTTATATTCCACTGGCATTTGAGGGTAAGCACTAATTAGCATAATCATCAATGCTTTAAAAATTAAAAATTCCTCCAAGAGACACAGGAGGGATTGAAAGTGTTTCCTTCCCCCAGGGGCAAACCCTTTCCCAAGCTATCTGCTGCAGCAAAAGGCTTTATTCTAGAAACACTCCCAAGCTATGCCCAAGAGTAAATTAAACCACAGCAAACTTGTAAACCCCAGTGTGTGTGTGTGTGTGCAGCAAGCAGGCCCTGATTTGACAATTACTACCCCATAAAGTGTTGTCACTATTTCTCCACTCCTGTTTTGTGTTGGCTGCTGCCCTGTGCTGTTGTGTCACCTTTGTTGTGCGGGCTGAAAAAATCAAGAAGTGTTTGTAGAGTTGGAAGTTTTTATACTTCCCAGGAAAGATCCTGGTGTCTTCCCAAGACTGAGAGCAGAGGGTTTAATGACACTGCCCTCCCCCAGAGCTTGCCTCAAGCTCCCCCACTCAGGAGCTGGCTTCAAAAAGCCTCAAGAGACATTATTTTCCATGTGAATTTAGAGAGGATTTTATTCTGGTTCCAAAAAGGTTTACAACAAGAACCTCAAGTTGAATTTCTAGCTTAAATAGACCCCTTTTAATGGAGAATAAGGTGCCAAGAAAACCTTAGGGGGAACTTTAAGTTTGAAAGGCGACCTCCATACCTTGGAAATGCCCCCCAAAAATTTATCTTTAAATTTCTACATTGGTGCCTTTTGGAGGTGAGAGTGGGGTCTCAGCAGGTGTGATCCAGGATGGGTGTCCTGTGTGGGGGTTCATTGTGGCTCAGAGGATGCTCCTCACACCCTCAGCAGCTCTTCAAGTGGTGAGCAGCAACCTCAGGGAGCAAAAGTAGTTCGCTGTGACAGTTGCTCTGGAAATGACCAGGGAGAAAAAATCAGTAATTTTTCCAAAGGAAATATTTACTCGAGAGGAAAACACTAAAAAAAAAAAAATGTAGGTGCTTCTTAAAACAGTTGTGTTTAAACTTAGGGTTCTTGTTATTTCTGCACAAGACACCACACCCTACGTGGAGTAACCACAGGGACTCTGCGAGGCAGAGCGGCACAGAAATCTCCGTGAAAATTTCAGAGTCTGCAGGACAGTGAGCATATGCATTGTCTACTTGGTATCCTATTTTTTTCAGCGAGATGGACTTCAAATTTCATTGGCAGAAATTCTCTCTTTTATCTTTATCTCCTGTTTTGATGTGGTAGCCATGGAGAAAAGCCCCAGATTAGTAACAGTAGGTTGGTGCAGAATAAGAATAACTTTCTGCTTGGATTTAGACTGTAGCAATATTGGGGGTTTTGTTTAACTGGAAACACTCAGATGGCAAAGAATAAATATTAGATGCTGTTGGGACATTAATTACCCATTCCATTCCATTCTATCCACCTTGGACTGATAATCCTTAACTTCCTCTCCTCTGAGGGATGTTTAGGTGGCTTTAAGAAGGAAGGGGTGGCTCTCTGTGACTGCTGCTTTTGAAAACTGGTTGGTTCCCCTGGGGGTCAATGTATTTATACTTTTGCCCTGCTACAGGTATCAGGGCACCTGAACCCTTGGAACTTATTTTGGGTAATAATGAATGAAATGGGCCATATTCTGAAGCTGAGATGCCTCGAGCAGCACAAGAAAGCCAAATTCATGAAGGTGGGTGTTGCTGAGCTGCCACACTCAGGTGCCTGTGGCTGCAAGTGTTGTGGGCAAACACCTCAAAGGGTAATGGGTTAACACAGGAAGGATGTGCAGCACTTGTGTGCTGCACTAGGATGACTTAATAGGTCTAATGATTACACAGGATCAAAGAGAGGGCATATCCTCACTCCAGATTTCACTCCTAATCTTCTGAAACATTCAGTGCAACTCGTGCACGCAGCAGCAGGGGGATAATCAGGCCTTTCCTGGCTCTCGGCATCTTTTTTCGTCCACCTGTGGGGCAATTCCAGGTTTATTGCTGCAGTGTAACCCCCAAGGCTGCTTGGAAAAGGGATTTCAGGGAGAGGCTAACAAGGAGTGCAAGCCAGGAGACCGAACATTCCGTGCTATTACAGGTGTCCTGAGTTGGCACAGGTGTTTTGCCACCAGTCATTATGGTTATACACAAATCATTAAAAACTCTTTTACTCCCAGCTTCCTTGCTCTCTTTTTTATTTTTTTTAAGTGGCAGCACCTCTGAAGGAAAGGGAAAGCGGGTCTGTCCCCAGGTGAGGGTCACAGATGTCTCCGATTCCTGGAAGCTGCAGCAGCAGGTCAAGGAACTGGGAACCGAATCGAAACCTGCCAGGTGAAGATTTCGAGGGTACAGCTCCTGAGAAAGAATGCAATTAGCACTCACTGAGAAATGGATGGATAAAATAACGTGGTGGTGCTTCACCACTCATTTTCTTGTTGCAGAAAAGAAGCCTCTGCAGAGCCTCCTGTCTCTCTCTCCAGAAACCACGGCAAAATCCCCATCCCTTCCCTCTTGCCTCACTCCATTATGTAACCCTATAGTGTGTGGGGGGCATGCGAGCTGTAAACTATGCACATATTCCAACGTTTTTCACCGCCTCTCCATTTCCTTGTATAGGAAAAAAAACCGAAACACCACCAGTTCTGGTTGGTTATACACCACTTTTTGTTTCTTCCCTATGGAGACACCGGGCCGAAGGAGGGTATGGAGGGACCATATATGGCCGTGGGAGCTGCTCGGAGCGCGGCGCGGAGCCTCTCCCCGGAGCGCGGGGGTCCCGCTCCCCTCAGGAGATCCCGCTCCCCTCAGGAAGCCGCGGAGGGAGCGGCGAGAGCGGCACCAGCGGATGTGACCGCAGCGCAGGCTGCGTTGGGAGGGACCGCCCCCTCCGCGGCCTCCACCAATCCGCTCCGGCTCGCAGCATGACTGACGGCCGCTCTGGCCAATCATGCTCCTACACTCACCACTCAGGCCCCACCCCTTCTCTCAGTTGGTCGCGCGACATGTCAATCATCCATTTCCCGCCCCTTTCCGTCAGGGGGAAATGCTCCGTGGGAAGGGTGGGGGGGGAGAAGAAAGGGAAAGCAACCAATGAGAGGCTGGAGGAGAGCGGATTGACAGACGGGCCGACCAACCGAGGCGCTCCGTCGCGCCGCCGCTCCCTCCCCCGCGGGTGGCGGGGCAGAGGGGGCGCCCCTCCCGCCCCTTCCCCGTTGGTCTGTCCCACTCCGGGCCGGGCGGGCTGGGTTGAGTGAGCGGCTCGGACCATTGCTCGCGGCGGGCGGGGGGGGCGCGGGCGAGGCGGAGGAGGAAGGAGCCGGCGAAGGAGGCGGGGGGGCGGTTTAAAGGGACAAGAGCCGTGCGGGCGCCGGCGGGGGGAGCCGGAGCGGCGGCGGGCGGGGACTCGCCCCCATCCCCACACACCGCCCGCTCGCACCGCGGCCAGGGTCGCCTCCGCCGCCAGCGCCCCCCTCCCCTCCCTTCCCCTCCGCCCGCCGCTTCCACAGCGGCCTCTATGAGGTAGAAGGGAGCGGCGGCCACTCCGGGGGCGGCAGCGGCCGCTACAGCCGCCGCCTCCTCCTCCTTCTCCTGCTCGCCTCAGAGCGCCCCATCTTTGTGTGTGCGGGAGAAGGGCGGGAGGGAGTGCGCGCTGCCCGCCCGCCGCGCTTTGTTCGGAGCCGGGGGGCCGTGGCGGAGCCCCGGCTCTATGTGCCAGCGGCTCCCCGGCGGCGGCGGCGTGAGGGGCCGGAGCCCCTGAGGGCGGGGGGGCCCCGGCCCGTGTCGGTGCAGCGGGGCGGGGGAAGGGGCCGGCTCGCTGCCCGCCGGCCCGGCCCGTGTGCGGGCGGATTGATGTGGGGGGGTCTGACATGAGTCCGCCGGCGGCCGGGTGCTGCCATGTGACCGGCTTCAAGGTGGAGAACTGGAAGCAGAACCTGCGGGCGATTTACCAGTGCTTCGTGTGGAGCGGCTCGGCCGAGACCAGGAAGCGCAAGGTACCCGGGGGCGGCTCGCATCCACCCCCCTTCCCTTCCCTTCCCCTCCTTCCCTCCCTCCCCGACCCACCCGCCGCCGCCTCGGGGAGGGGACGGGTCGGGTCTCCCTCTCTCCCTCCCCACGGGGCAGGTGGGCCCGGGCTTCCCAGGGAAGGGGCCCGGGCTCCCGCACGCGGTCCTGGGGGGAGGGAGAGAGGGAGAGAGAAGGAAGCGCTGCTCGGTGCCTCCGGGATGGCGAGGTGGGGGGGAGCACCGGGATGGAGGAGGGAAGAACCAGCCCCGGCGGGGCCTCTCTCTCTCCCTGCCACCTGCCCCGGCGGCTTTTCCGCAGCGGGGCTGTTCCGCAGCGCCGCCGCTTCCTCCTCCCTCCTCCTCCTCCTCCTCCTGCCGGAGGTTTCCCGGAATACCGGGGGGAGGGGAGGCCCGGGGCACCGGGCACGTCCGGCCTGCGGCGGGGCTTTGTGGAGCCCCGCGGGGCCGCGCCCGAGCCCGGGGGGCTGCGCGGAGCACAATGGCTGGGAGCGGGTCCCGGCGCCGCGGCTGCGGCTCGCTCGGTTATGTCTGTGTGGGTTGGGTTTTTTTTTTTTCCCCTTAAAAAAAAAAAAAAAAAAAGGAAAAAAAAAGCTGCTTGTGCTCCTAATCCACTTGGAACAGGGGATTCCTGCCCTAGTGGGGCGGGGGGAAGGAACTGGCTGAGCCTGGAGTACAGGGAAGGGCAGGGGGTGGTTTGCTCTGGGAGCTGTTGGCGCCTGGGAAAAATCCCTGTAAAGCAGGGAAAAGGCAGGGAGAGCTCTTTTCCCCCGCCTATCTCCTAGATGACATCCCTGTTCACATGCATGTTTCTGGAGGGCTTCTCTCTTCGCTGTGCAACTAATTACTGTTTTTCCCCAGAATCAGCTAGTTTTTGCTTCAAAGTGACTTGGCAGATTTCTGTCAGTCGTCGCATTGGTGACTGAGGAGGGGAAGGCAACAGCTACACACGGAGCAGAACTTGGTTTTTGGGACAGCACGGATTGTGTTTGTGTTGGAGCAACCCATTGAGAACTTTCAGATCCCAGTGCTTTGCATTAAGCTGCTCAGCTTATTATTCATAATAGAAGTAGAGCATGAAGGATGGACTTCAGGGGTGAGGTGCCAAACCATTTTTCTGTGTTCGGTTCATGTTCTCAGGACAATCCAGTTTTCCAGTTTTTTACTTGAAGAGGAAAAAATGGAATCTGAGAAGAAACATGTTTTAAATGTATTTAGTTACTTGAGAGCCCTGCAAAATGTAGCCAGGCTTGTTTTCAATATCCTACAATCCCCCTACAAGCTAATATTATGAAGAATGTTAGTCAAAATTTGGGTTTCTTTAGCCTTTAGTATGTCAAAATACAAATTGGGATATAATAGGTGGTACTTACAGCTTAAATGGAGGAAAAAATTATATATGTGCTAGGGAAGGAAAAAAATACAAGTGAGGTATAAAGATGTCTCAGACAAATACAAAGCAAGTGCTACTTGCAAGAATGAAAATAAAATTTTATTAGCAACAACTACCTTTTTTTCTTTATAAATATGGAGCATCCTTTGTAACCTGCGTACCAGCTGTAGGCTGCAACAGTTTTTTCTTCTGGAATCTAATGGTAGGGATGTGTTCATCATTGCTTGAGAAAACAGCTGGAAATACATAATATTCCATTGTAATCAATCTGTTCTCACTTCCTCTTTGCACAGCCAGGCTCATAAAGCAGAACAGGGTTGTTGCAAAATTATCTGTCAGGTCTTGGAAAACACCAGTTTTCCTAATACATGCTAAAAATACCTTTTCCCCCCCTGTTTTTTTTTAAGAAGGTTGTTAGTGTGAAAATAGTTGGGTACCTGAATTCAGCCCACCTGAAATATGTGGGAGCACGTGATCGTATACAGGGTACCATTTTGGGTAGCTGAATTTGGGGTTCATTCCCTGTCTGTGTTCATAAGGATTGGAGAAAGTCTATAAATGACAGTTAAGGTACTTGCCTCCCCTGCATATGGACATGAGACCTTCTTCCATGGAATTTTTCTTTACTGAAATTCCCTGTCCATATGTATGCCTTCCAGTTTTATATGTAAAATTTGATAGATGGAATTTTCTGTTTGGTGGCACGTTTATAGTCCAATAACCAGAAATAAATTAACTAGATAGTCCATACAATTAGAAATAAATAACTAGAAAACAATCCTTTATCCTTTAATATTTTATGTATGCATGTGGAATGCGTATATATATTCTAGGAGCATAGCTGTGACTGCGTCTTTATTGGTGAAGATTCTTCTTAGCCTTAATCAAAATGATGAGGCTAAATTAAAGGCTTGTTAGAAGGTGATATTCTTTTTGTGATAAAGGACAATCACATCATGCAGTTGTTACAGGAAACATTCCATACGTGTAGCTGATCACTGGGCATTTTCACTGTTGATCAGATGAATGCAGCTGTAAAAATGCCTTGGCTGTTGGTGAGAGCCAGATGTAAATGGTTCTGGTTCCAGAATGGTAACTGCTCTCCCTCCTAAGGCTGTCTTAAAAATCCAGAGAGCAGTGGGAACTGCAGGGGGCAGAAAGGGTCCGTTCTCCTGCTCTACCTACTCTGCGTTCTGCCTTGGCAGACCATTTTAGTGCTGTGCTCTTCGTTTTTAATACCTACCTTTTCTGTGAATAAGCTTTTACGAGCCTCAGCTCGTGGCTCAGTTTGCTTTACAGCCAGTGGTTCGAGCAGAATGGCTCTGAGGCTGGTTTATGGTGGGAAAGCTGCCTCCTGAACCTGTGTTTTTGAATTCTCAGTCAGAACCAAGAGGTAATTACACATGTATCTTCGGAGGCACTGGCGTTCCAGTGAAGATTTGAGGAGCACGTTTGCTCCCGAAGCAGTGGCTGTGCTGGGATTTGAGATGTCACCGTGGTGCATTGTTGTACTCAACATGAAGGAGGGAGGCTGGGACTTGCCTCATCTCACTGCATCTTGGCCAAACTCAAGTGCAGCTCTCTCTGTACAAGCTGTTCCGGGCACAGGGTTTGCCGTGGTGCAATTGTGTTGCTGATAGTAAAGCCTAAGCAGAGACAAAACCCGCCTGTCACGCTGGAGATTGGAACAGGAGAAGAGGGAGGGGGAGAAATCTGAAGGCTGACTCTCTAAACTGTAATTATTGTGGTTAAAAGTTGCAGCTAAAGTGGCAAAAATTAGGGTGGGCTGTGTCGCGGTTAGGATTCTGACCCTTGATTTTTTGATTTACCAAAGTTAGAATGTGTTTAATAAGCTGAGGGCAAAGCTCCTGTTTCTGTAGGTCGTGGACTTTACCTTGAATATTTTGATGTGGAAATTACCTCACAATTAAGTAACACTGTAGAAGAGGTCCTTAAATTTGACACCACTACCCCCCATTTGGGAATGGCAGAGCAGACAGAGGATGCTGAAAAGACTTTTGCCAGCCCTTGGTGTCAGCTTTTCCCATTTTTTCTGAAGGGTCACACTTGAAACATTTTGCTTATTCCTTTAAAATTAGAGACGAGAAAAATATTTTGCAGTGTCAGATGTAGTTTGTGGTCCCCATCAGTGAGCAATTAGACATGCAAATGCATCTTAGTGCCCAGGGCTTGGTAAGTAATGGTCTCAGTGCTTGAAGGGCAGCTAAATTTATGATTAAATTTTGTCTTACTGGACTGTACATCTTAGTGGAAAACTGCCTCATTCTGAATGCTTCTTATTATCACTGCCCCAAAAAGGCTCACGATGATAAAAGTAAACTGGTCATTGTGACCACAGTCGTGATATGCACAAGGCTCTATCTGGAATTTCAGAATGTTTGTTCAGTGCTTCAGCCAATAGATCAAAGAATAATTGCCTGTCAGGGGCTGTGCACTCTCACTGACAGCGAGTGCGTTCTGGCGTATTTCTTCCTGTTTGAGAGCTTCTGTTGTTTTTTTCCATTATTCTCTCTTTACATGGACCCTCCAGACCGACTGATGCTTTCAGATATGAGGAACCATTTGCTCTGATAGGTGATGACCTTTCTTCAGGTGTCCTTCTCCCTGTGAACTTGGGACTTCAGCTCGTTGCTCCTTACAATGTTTTGACACGTAATTGACTCACTTACTTAAACCTGAAATTACTTTGGCTCATTTCCTAACTTCCAAAGCAGAAAAAGCTTAATCATAACAACTTAGCAAATAAATGCCGTGTCATGTTTTCAGTAGCAGGTATTGTGGTTCACATTCTAAGTCAGCGTGTCACCTTCTTGCTAAAATGACCTTGCAGTCTCAGGGTGAGCTACTGGTGGAACTTCTCATCTCAGGCCTGTTGAGACACGTCTTCTCCCAAAGAGCCTTGCCCCATGTACCTGTCCAGGAACAGGGAGTGTTACTGAGCTGATTTGCTTTGTACTTTGCTTGTCCTTTGGGCAAGGAGCCTCAGCAGGCTGTGCTGCCTTCGCAGGCTCGGTGGATTGTTGAAATTAGTAAGGAAACCTCAGCTTGTTTTTCTTTAACGTTTGTAGCACGTGCACCAAACATCTGGATTACCAATCCTGTGGAGAATTTCAGAGAGGAGGCCAGGATTCAAGAAACATGTCTCTTTTTCAGCTGCGTGCTCCGCTTTGGCTGCCTGTGTGAACCCTCTGATTGACTCAGGAAGGATGTTCTTCTTTGCCATGTGCTGTGGGAACTCCCTGAAAGCCCACGAGAAGTGTCAAAGTCCACTGCAAGCTTCATTGTTCAGGAGGTCTCAGTTTCATGCCTGAACAAACTTCCTTAGGTCCTAACCTCTAAGGACTAAAAGGGCCCTTAGACCTGCTGCAGGTAACGCTCTCTTTCCTCTTGGTGTGAAGACAGGATCTCTGGTGTGAGAGGTGTCCACACGTGAGATTTTTAGCTCCTTGTGTACGTGGGACAAACCAGGTCGAGAAATCTCCACCGAGCTTGTGTCCCTGGCACCGAAGAATATAATACAAGGCCTTCCTCTTCCTAGTGGTGCTAATCCCTATTT